GGTATTAAATGAGGTTATAGCCTTTTCATTGTTTTACTTCTAAAACTGTCTTTCAGTTGTGTGTTCCTTTTGTTTTTCATATAACCATGAAAAGTGTAAACATGAACATCTTATGTCAACCCATAGCTTTTTATCCTGGGGGAGACTCCCTAATAAAAAAAAACAAAATGACCCCTAAAAGGGACCTGTATTGTGAGATAATGGGCGTGGTAATGCTGAAATTTCACCCCTGAGAGGGACCAATCAATAACAGGTCATTTTGTTTCCCGATTTTATTTGTGTTTTTGCACAAGAATCAAACACCATCGGATCGTATTGAGATCAGTCATCTAATTAGCAGTTGTGGCTGTTGTTGATCTTATAATGATGGCTTTAGGGTCGTTGTATACCTTAAAAGGTACCACAAAACTCAGGTAGTGGGAATTCCCGTCATTATCAGCCTAAGCGGGACCAAAAACACTGATTTCAAACCCTAAAAGGGACGAGGAGGACCCCCGCCCTTTTTTATTAGGGGTCCCCCCGCCCTGGGCTTTTTATAAGTAATAGCATGGCTTCAGCAGGAGATCAGACTGAGATTAAATTTAAAAGTCAAGTTTTATCAACTTATCTGCCCTTGGCTTCAGGGACATCTAATCCCTAATCTCCCTAAGAGCCATGCTATTGCTTATAAAAAGCTGTGGCTTCTTCTGCTTCAGAGTGGAATTAATTGGGTGGATTTTGAAGTCCTGTCAGGTCCTCAGTAATGGTCTTTAAACATTAAATTAAAAACATTCATAACTTCAGAATGATCTTTAAAAATGAATGCAGGCTTACATTTTATAAAAATTGTAACAAGACTGTATAATGTACAACTTTAAATCAAAATCCTGAGGAATTTTTAAATAAATTTCTACATACCATTGGGTTTTATATAGACACGATTTTATTAGTTATAAGAATTAGTGGATTCGTGCTCAGATATTCTGAACTTAAAATGACAATATTTTACAATCACCTATATTTTGTCCATTTTCTTTTGAAATGCTGCCAATACTAATACTTAATTCTCTAACGAAGTCTGAAGAAAAATAAATTTCCAACAGTATTCAAGAATAATGGTTATAAAACTTACCCTGGGTTCCAGAGGTTGGATTTACTCTTTGTTTTCTAGTTATCTACAGCGTGAACTGTAATCTGCCTTTTGCCCTCAAAAACAGTGCTTCATGCTGTAAATAAAYTCAAACACAGAGAAATCCAGCCCCTTAAACCCAGGGTATATAAAACTAGGACATCCTGGGAAACATTTTAAAATTAAAATGAATCATGTCTCCTCTTAAATAGAACTTRTAATAATCATTTTGGACTTCTAAATGGTTATCTTAAAGCCCATTCATAAGATAATCAACCTTAGAATATCTTGGTCGTTGAACAAACTCCCACCATGGCCGTCCCACTATTACAATCACAGCTACCAGGAACAACAGCCCAAAAAACAGTGCAATAACCAGAGATGTCTTGTTGGTGTGGTTGTGTTGTGCTGAAGAGCTTTTCGTTGTGCTTTGTTTGTGGGTTGAAGTATTTGCATGTGAAGTGTGGATAACATGAGTTGAAGCAGTTGGTGTTTGAGCTGGAAAAACAAAAGAAAGAAAGATACAAGTCTTGAATGACTCGGTGAAATAATGACTTGAATGACACCTTACACTGCCCAAAGTTGCTCACAAAATGACTATTCCTTTATTGTAAAAAATCATTTATCTGAAACCAGGTGCTAGCTTCAACATCTACCTGTACTTTTGACACAGTTGAAAGCTGTTTATGCAATTATGTAGTTAGGCTTGTTGATGCCAATACCTACATAACATATATACTGTCAGATATACATATCATATACTGGCAGATATACTTTTGAGAAATTCCTTGAATGGAAGTACTTTTTAGACTATTTTTGCAATGCTGTTTACAATTGCAAGACAAGGGAGTGCAACAGAACTCATTTTTTCCATAAGATGAGGAAAATTACCATGGAAAAATGTAAATTTTTGGYGTGTCTCAAGGAAGTCGTTAAAAGCTTGTTTTTTTGTGAAACATTAAAGTTTTAAAATTTTCAATACAGTAAAAGCCCACTTATAAGTAATGTTTACAACATGAGAGGCCATGTTGTATGGGACTTTACAATCTCGAGCCGAAGAATTTTGAAAAAAATGAATTATTCAAGCAATAAAGTAAGGATTGCCATGAAGACGAAAGAAGGCCATAAAAAATCAGGAGAMAGTGCTTCACAGTATTTCACTGATGAATGCAAGTCAATCCATCCTTAAATTATGCTTGCAATATGAATATATAATATTAACTAATCAAATTCCAGCATGCATGTAGGTTGAAGCATATTTTGCTAAAAACTTCTTAGTTGATAAAATATTATTTTTAAAACAAAATTCAAGTTAAGGGAAAGTTTTTTTGTGCTRCCCAACTTAATTCRACCTTGATTTGCAGAAAATATCTTAAGGACACAGCTTGTGATTCTTTACTGTCACTTCAAATTTGGACATCTTCAATGTGCCAAAAGCACACCCATTTACTTTAGAAATATATTATGCATTATTATCAAACTAAAAAAGTGGACATACCTGATGTAGCTACAGAAGATAACACAGATGGTGAAGTGCCTGGTATTGACATATTGATTGGACTATGAGTGATACCTCTCTGGGCAGGCTGAAGAACAATGATAAAAGATTTTTWAAAAAAGTATAAATCACCATAATTGACATAATCACAACAGGTACAATCAGTGCAATATACTGCATCTATATGTAACAGTGTATATGTTGTAGTTCAGGTTCAATATATTTTTGAACCAGTTTAACAATCTAATTTGTTCCAGTACAATACTTCTTGTACTGGTCTTTTTTTTTGCTTTGGCATCCTTACAAGAACTAAAATAACTATATCCAATCTCATTCTCTCCCATTTTCTATCTATCATATTGGTTTCCACCTTTTACTATTTCCTACTTTATTTTACCCTATACCTGCTATACCCCACAGAAATATTGAATATGAATAACCTTCCTTCATCAGGGTTTGAAGTCGCTGAACCCTAACCCTAACCCTAACCCTAACCCTAACCCTAACCCTAAACCTAAACCTAAACATAACCTCTAAACCTAACCCTAACCCTAAACTGATTTATACTGGATTGAGTTATATTGGACTGGCTCAAAATAAACTGAACCAGTTCAGAAGAAATTGAACTGGTTCAAAATCATATTGAACCTGAACTACAACATATATGTTGACAATCAAAGGCTATCAGGACTGGTTATTGACCCCATCCTTTCAGTCTCAGCTCAAAGTGCATATCAGAAAATACATGTTTACTGTAAAATGTCACCAAAAACCTGTCTTTTTCTTCAATTTTCATGTCATTTTGTATTCTTACTATTAAATTTGCAGGATTTTAGGGTTGAACAATGCTTTTGTTTTTTAATTAAGAGAGCAGATAGAAGTTTGACTGACATCCATGTAAGCCCCATCTTGATGTGATAAAGTTCTCATTTTAGTGAAAGTTGTTATGTAATGGGGCAATCATTTTTTTAAAAAGGACATTAAAAATACCTGTTAATTTCATTGACCAAGAAACATATTATATTTTGTTATGCTTATATAAGCACTTTTGTTGGTACCGATTTGCGCAATTTTAAAACTTATACCCAGTTTCCTGTTTGGACATGACAGCTGGCAACGATTTCTATTGTGTTTTACCTTATGAATATTAATGAGTTTTATAAGTAATTTAATGTTGTATTTGCTTGCTGGCTGCAACCTATTTACCTCCTTTTTGTAATTTCTACATTYTATGCTTTTCCTTTCTAGATTCATATAGTATAAGTAACTGTTATTTATCTTATCTTCTTTTGAACATTTGAAGTTTTGAACCCTATATTTCCATTACTCAATGTATTAACAATTTGTTCATTAATAAATTAAAAGCTATTACTGCTACAGTAAATAGAACAAGTCCAGTGATATACCTGTTCCATGGAAGTTGGGCTGGTATCAATAGGTGTCTGGGTAATACTGGTTTCAAGTGTTACACCATGCTTTGACTTGAAACTTGTCATTTGGGATGGCTGAATTGCATTACCTGTAAATAGMAAATGGTCAAATTACACTTGTTAATGGTCATTGGTCATTTGCAGTCTGTTTTAGTGGTTAACAATTAAAGCTGTCCATGATAAACCCGTCATGACATAGAATCACATAAGTTGGTTGAAACCCCAACTGTCATACAATTCTTTGGTCTCATGTTGTGTATCAATCAAATTGTCTGTTGAAAACTTACTTTTCTTGGTTAAACATGACATCTTTAGTAAATTGCATTTTATTACAAAAATTTAAAAAAACCCCCCCCCCCCCAAAAAAAAAGACGAGAAAAACAGAACATTGTTTTATTGACTACCAAATATAGTATAACAGTTTGTTCAAAATTATGAAATTTGTTCAGACATTCTTGAAGGACTTAAAAGGGAATAGCTGTTCACCAAATCCCCTATACTAAATACTACTTCCACTAGTGATTTATTATAGAAGCTTGATTGGACTATGGTGAACAAAAGTGATATATCAATGCTGGATAACCTCATTAGAATCCCAACACCAAAATTTTGAGCCAAGTAAGTAAGTTTCTTATATGCAAATACACAAAATGGTTGCTTACAGAATTCTCTTAGAAATCAACACATCTGATGTTCTATACAAACTAAATTAGGGGATCAGTTTAAACCATCTCCACTATAGCTTGTACATGTAAATTACTTATAGTAGAATCCCAAACATCAGTTTTTATAATTTGTTCCTACTGGACAAGTTATGTCTACTTCTTTGTTTACATTTGTTGAGTTGGGTATTGCTTGGATAATTCAAGTAGCCAAGGCAAATTGTAATAAACACAATTTTTTTGTGAGGTAAACATATGATTTGCCAACTAGGAAGATCTTACGAACACTAGGTTCTTCTAGTCAATAGTAAATGAAAACAAAGACCRCATTATGCTAAGTAAACTATTCTTTTGTTGCATCTAAATAAGGGGTAGCTCTTCTAGTCTACTTTGTTGAGAGTTAGAGATGGCATCAGCACCACTAAACCAGAACTCATTATTACCGTGCCCAGACCGACTTTWTTTTTTTTTTYCATGTCGCAGTTTAGCACTCCCAACTCGTGTTAGTTTTTTTATTGTAGCAATTTGTTTTATTAAAATGTTTATGTTGTGGTGTGAAATGTATTTTGGTTTGAATTTTTTTAAAAATATAATTCAAGGTTACCCCGGACACTATTTTCGTCAAATCTTTCAAAATTTTTAAATTAGTCTAAGTGAATTAAAAGAAGTATATCCTACAACTTTGACTAAAGTTTATGCCGATGTATTTTTTTCTAAACTGGTTATAAACAAAAAACGTTTTGAGGTTCTCTGAAACGTGTTTTACTGCTGACTGCGGCTGTCATCGTAAGTATTGACGAATGAATAGTCACGTTATGAAAGCACGACGGGGTCACATAACATCACAAACTTCACATCAAGCGATATAAAGACCAAAGCGATACTTATTCCACTGTATACTTGAAAATATCCTTTGCCAAGGCCTTTGGGATTCACCATTTTGAGAAAACTTACTGAAAATTATTACTATTCGCTGCACAGTCCGCGAAGAAGGTCAAACAACCACAGGGAGCACAGGCTCTTTATCAGTGGATCTTATGTACACCACCCCTCCCCTCCCCTCTATATTTACCGTTATTTTGAAGAGTTTATATGGTGTTATTGAATCGAGAATTTCTCGCTTGAATTTTAATAAATCGAAACAAAACTCAMACATGWTGTTATTGATGTATTGTGCAATCCCCTGACGAAGTTTCAGCCGATTTCCTTGAGTTTAAGTGCCTTTCTCCCCACCAAGCAAAGGAGAGTGTGAGTTTTGTTTCGATTTATTAAAATTCAAGCGAGAAATTCTCGATTCAATAACACCATAYAAACTCTTCAAAATAACGGTAAATATAGAGGGGAGGGGAGGGGTGGTGTACATAAGATCCACTGATAAAGAGCCTGTGCTCCCTGTGAAACAACAAGGTCACGTTCGCTGAATATGCTCTCCCACCGTTCTTGTATCGTATTTCTTCCTTATGCTTATTGGCTACCGAACGAGTACGCTTGTCAACACTTGATCCCTAGTCCTTTAATCCCATTAAACTTCAACTTCATGTTTCGTAAAAGTAGATTTCGATAAAATACTAAAATTCAAACGGTTCGTTTGCAGAACTTATCAGACGAATTTCCTCTAAATTTTGCATATTGATTCGGACATTACTGAATTTTCAAAGTGTGTCTGCGTTTATCTTTTTAAGTTTTCTTTGTCGAGAAATAAACAGTTTTGTGAGGGATGAGGTAAAATAGGGCCTAGTCTAACTTTAAAATCAAATATAAAAATAACGAAGCGTTGAAAAGCCAAACGCAGACACACTTTTGCAGAACAATGCCTTGGTAACAGGATTATCAAAAAAGTTTATCTTTCTACGTAAAACTTTCTGCAAACGAATCTCTCGCGCGGAGACAGTGTGTTCTCGTCAAGTCCTTGATGTCTTTTAAAATAATCAATTTTATCAAAAAATACGTCCAGATATGGATTCTTTGTCATTTTGTTTCTCAGAAAATGTATRATTTTTGCGGGTTTCCTATTAAATCGCGCGAGATATGATTTTTTTTTAAACACCTCCCGGTAGTGTCCGGGGTAACCTTAAAAAATATAATTCAAGTACCTTGTTGTTAGGTTTAGTGAAGATTAGTTCAGATTCAATTTGTGTGGAAGATTTTATTATATGATACTAAGACTGTTATTGCTACTGAACTTGTTTACAACCATAGGTAAATGAACAGTTGTGTAAAAAGATAAATTTAACACCGTAAAAAAGTAGGTGAAACAACTCAGGGCTCAAAATAACGGTCAGTGACTGGACAGTGATGACAGTTCAAATACAATTTTGACCGGACATGTTCCAGTTTTGACCWGACAAAAATGAATAAAATGAAGCACAAAAACTTGAATTAAAACATATATTTTTTATACAAAAAGCACAGTTTATTGGCATTAAAATCAAATTAAAAGACAAAAAAAGAACAAAAACCTTTCTGATTTTTGAGCATTTCATTTGTAGGAAATAAAATTTAGCACGTTCACACTGCATGTTCAGCAGTGTGAAAATCCTTCATAAAAATCAAGAAAAAAATAAAAATAAAATGCCASGAAAAAAGCGAAAGTGTAATTTCTTTATTACCTTTATTAAGTTAGACTAAGGGTATTGTTTTTTTTTCTTCTTGGTGAAATGCATTCCACAAAAAATGAGAATGAAAGCTTAGAAACATCATATTGAAAATACTGAATATTATTCTATGGCTTCGACGTTTCGTTGACATTTGACGGCTAGCTGGTTCRCAGGGATACATGATCATTGTTCRATAAACAAGTAGAATCGAGTCTAAGATGCTATTTCCTCTATTTCAATTCTTTGAATCGCGTTTTGTATTCATTACACAACGTTTTCCTATATAACTTATAGCTGTCTGATAGTCTTCATAGCAGAATATCGACGCCCAGGAATCGTYCGTTATATTAACAGTCGACCTGAATCCGCTGTAGTAGTTATTTAGATTTTCACTATATTTCACAGCGGCCATCTTGGATGAACTTTAACAAAGGATTTCTCATTAGTATCTATTGTTCATTCCTCCAACATGGCTGCCAGTCTGTTATCTTTTGAATCTCATTGGAATGGAATGTGTTATTTTCACGACTAGTGAAAATAACAACTTTACTCAATGGAGAAATAGAGTACAAACTCTAAAACTGTGCAAYATAAATACCACTAAATACCACTAAACTATGGTAATTCTATTGTAGTGTTTAATTAGCACTATTTTGTAGTGAAATAGTGCAAAGTGTTGCACACTTTTGGTGTTGTACTCTATAGGTATTATGATAGAATGATCGCACTTAATCCGTGCAACTGTACAAATAGTGATGTTTAGGTGTACATGTATTTAGTAAATTGTGCATGCGATACGCAAATTAAATTGAGTCGATTCAAATGAAGCATTCAATACCGTCTTGCTTCAGGTCCACTTTTAGTACAAATTAGAACTAGTTAGATTTTGTACAGTTGCATGGATTAAGTGCGTTCACTCTAAGTCTAATTATAGAGTACAAACACTAAAACTGTGCAACAAAAATAATACACTAAAGACTRCTAAATTATGCTAATTCTATTGTTTTCTATTGTTTAATTAACACTATTTTGTTGCTTCCACAGCGTAGCGAGCCTGAGCGAGCGAAGTGTAGGCAGCAACTCTAATCTGGAGAAGGGCAAAATTTCTCGATTTTAACCCAGGATGCAGTATGTTTTCATTAACCGTCTTACTTTGCGCCACTATAAAACGGTGAACAGTCCCGGATGTTCTTTCTCCCTTGTGTTTACATTAGCTTGTGTTCTTGAGGTGAGTCGAGTTTTGTTGTGTTATTTTGATTTTTCTTGCTGTTTTTATTATTCAGAGCACTAATTCAAACAAGTATTAACCTCGAGTTCATATTTTCGTTTCAGTTTTATCATTATTCCRTTATTTCTCGATCGTCTCTTGACAAAGATTGTGGTCTAAAGAGTTCTCGACAGTGAGTGCATCAAGGGCGCTAGATCACTGAAATTATGACCTATAAGGTCGAGATRTCGCTTAATTTATTCAACCTATGATAGTTGATAGTAAATAAAGTTTTACTTATTATCTGAAATGCATCCTGAATCTGTCGTCTTAGCAGCTAATGAKGCCTTTGCATTTTGACTCATTCAAATGATCGTTACTCAAACGGTAGGGTTGCTGATTTTTGCGGTCTGGCCAGGAATAGCCTGCKTTACATCCRGATTTATTTGCCACATAAAACCAGATGTAACGATATTCATCATTAAAATCAMTTTGCGCTGGCTTTTATTTGAATCAAATGTAGGTTCTTGAACCAAATATGATTGCCGTCTGTGCCAAGAGTAGTTTTTATTGATTTTTATGGTATAAAAATCTGACAAAGGGGAAAAACAGACGTTTTCAGTATAATTCAAAATCGTTTATTACAAAAAATTTTAATTTTTTGTAATAAACGATTTTGAATTATACTGAAAACGTCTGTTTTTCCCCTTTGTCTATTTATAAAAGACGTTGCAATAAGGGTTCACAACAGAATAGCATTCGGGACAAGATTTTCCATGTGAGAGTAATACAAATGCAGGAGCAAAACCGCCTATACTAGAGTGAAGTCATGCACATCAAACGCTGATCACACGGTGGCAATTAAGCTACCGGGCAGCACTTTCATACCTTTTAGGTAAACTAGTAGTAKTGTAAAGTATTGCACACATTTAATGTTTGTACTCTATYATACATTTACATTTCATTTATTTCTAGCYATTTATAAATTATTGCCATATTTGAAGTGTACAAATGAAGTTTGCTGTTGTAAGAAAGTTTGTTTATTTCAATTACAGGCAACGACTTGACACATTCCCATCAGATATAAAAACAAATTGTACTTTCAGTCAATTTCTCAGATCCAGTCTTATAAAAACTCAAATGTTAATTCTAGTTTAATTTTTTTYAAAAGCTTTGATTCATCTCTACTTCTTTTAGAAAGTTATTTCTGTACGCTTTCATTCTTCTGTTTCAGTTGTAAAATGGATTGATGGGACTAAAATATAGCTAAAATTGGAACCAGCTTACCTGCTAAAGTGTTTCTCTTCAGCGTCCCAACTACAGAGCCTTGCAAAGTGCTTCGAACACATTTGTTTACTGGTTCGCATTTTATCAGAAAACAATTGAACTGCCTTTGCTTGCTGTTATAGTACACATATACTGTACATTCAGTATTACTACAGCATTCSTCCCTGCATAAAATTTCGTCGGTTAAATTGAGTCCTTTAACAGCTCTTGTTGTGTTGCTCGTTGCTCTTGACTTCTTAATATCCACGATTGTATTTTCCTCTCTAGTGACTTCGCAAGATGAACTTTTTGCATTATTTCCGCTATTAAAGCTTAATAGTAGCAAAAAAACAACACTGAAGTATAGTGGCATCGATATCATACAATATTCCATTATTTTTTAGATTAATAATTATCATGAAATTGATTGTTTACCAAATACCAAAATGGCCATCGTTSTCAAAAAATGACTGCAAAGTCTTGTGGGAGACACAGGGCACCCAAATGGCAAACGTCAAGATATGAGCATAGGCAGCCCAACTATTCTCTAAAACGTAACGAGCTGCTGAATGACGGTAACTAGACGGTCTTAGAGCGTGAAGTCGGGCTAGCTTTTATAGGAGTATCAAGCGCGCAAGGAGTAATATCTTGTTAAAGAAAAAAACCTACTTAACGTGATGGTATATMAAATGATAGAGTAAATATCGCCATGCTTTTGATTATCAGTGATAGCATATCAGTCAAAGTATGTTTAAGAGAATTTATTCGAAACAGTTTCCTGAAGATAAGCTGGTCCATCTGGGACKTCAACTCCCCCGGACTTGCCGGGAGACTCCCAATTTCTGATCGAATCTCCTGGTCTCAAGATTTTAGCCCTAAATCTCCCGGATACGCACGATATTTTCATAGAATGATATTAATTACTAACCATCGTTGTAGATTTCTATTTTCAAAGAAAACCTTCAATGCCATATCGCGTTTCCTCGCCCCATCTCCCGGGGGGAAGTTCTCGACCCTGTTTTGAGGGTATCCGCCACTTGCGCCGATGAGACTGATCGCCGAACCCACTTTCGCCGAGTAGTCGGGACTGTTCGCCGGTGTGTTATGTTCAGTTCGCCGAGAAGTCAAAAGTTTATATACATGTTGAATGAAGGAAGAAAATAAACTGAATAAAAGTCAATAAAAGTGCTTAAACTCTTCAACCTTTTTATTTACAGTTTAAAGCGAGACGTTTTCGTTAAGAAATTACTAGTCGCCTGGAGATATGAAATCTTCACGAACTATTAAAGGAAGGTTCTTGTTCTGGAATGTTTAAAAGGAGCTATTTAAGTAACACCTCGCTCTGGCTAAGTAGTCAGTAACTTTTATGTGCAATTACCACGACAAATTTGGAAATCACAGCATTCGCTAGCATCGCGATCTGTGAATAATCAAGTAATCACGGATTCGTAACATATCAAGTCGCGTAGCAACGTGAACTAAACAGACAACATGTAAACAATACCTCATGTAGCTTCCTTCGAGCAAATATAAGTACTTATAATAAAACATCAGCATCATACAGCTTTTTGCACAAATTATGAGACATTTTTATATATATAAATATACCTAACCAAATATCAAAAACACCCCAGAAATTATGGTATATCTCTATTATATTTTGTCATGATTGCCTAGCATCAGGTTGTTACAGACAAAATATCAGCGACGGTATCCCATAATTTCTTGGGTGTTTTTGATATTTGGTTAGGTATATTTATATATATAAAAATGTCTCATAATTTGTGCAAAAGGCTGTATTTAGTCATATAAAGTATAAATTGTATAAAACCAAACTAGTCAATAGTTTAATGAAGGTATTTCTGCCCTGAGAGTCGACAATGAGACGGAAGAGCCCCTACATTGCCAAACCAACATGTAGTACCGCGTTACATAGACTTTGAGTCTTATACTAATAAGTATGCTCATGATACGTAGTATAAAAAAGCTTTATTACACATTACAGACTTCTCATTAAAGGATATTACCAGACTTTTTTTACATTCCAAACATTCCAGCCATGACACTTTATTAAAACGCTAACAAAAACGGAGGACCGTTTCGCCGACGAGTAAACCATCACAGTTCTTCGATGCATTCATTATCTCCTATACTCATAATGTTCTAAAATAGAAGTAGAATCCTAATAGTCCTCAAAAGCGACGTGGAACTGACATTTACAAATATATTTATTTTCCAGGAAATAATTGATACTAGTAACATCATGCCCGTTTTTGCGGCAAAGATTTATAGTTTTCTTTAATGTTTAATGTAACTAGGCTGCGCGATATATAACTATTGTAATTCAATGYCGCATCTACTTATTAAAGTGAAAGAAAGTTTAGTTAAAGTAAATAGAAATGAAAGAAGACTTATATTTTTCTGGGTCAAAACGAACATCGGCGAACTGAACATAACACACCGGCGAACAGTCCCGACTACTCGGCGAAAGTGGGTTCGGCGATCAGTCTCATCGGCGAAAGTGGGTACAATCGTTTTGAGTTGGTACGTGCCGCCAGCGGTCTAAAACCCTGACCCTGTTTAAGGCACAAGAAAGTAAAAATCCATACCCTGTTCAAGACAAATCGGAAAAATAAGGAATCGCTATCTACGTAGGCTCAGTCTCCAGCCGTCGGGATTTCGTGCGCCCGCGATACTCTCTCCCCTGACGGCTGGGCGCATGRGGTTCGCTATTGTCAGTCTTGACCAATCAGCGAGTGGCCCCCGATATTTTGAGGGGCATATCAATAATAAATTAGCAGGCAGCAGTGTAACAAAATGGCGTACAATTCGTCGTTTGAGATTCTCTTTGAAAGTGCTTGTTCGAAGTCTCTGAAGTCGTTTAGCTTGGACGAATTTAGAGAAATACAGCAAAAGGCTCTTAAAGAGATTGTTCTTGGAAAAGATGTCCTTGTTATTCTTCCTATACTGGCTCGGGCAAATCTCTTATTTTTCAAACAGCGCCACTAGTGTATTTTGCTCGTTTTTCTGGCAGATAATACATCCATTTGGATTATTAAACCCTRCACATGTTTTACTTGGGGTAATTTCCATTCCTTTCTCTTTTTTAAAGCGCTAACTATTACATTATATCGCTACTTCGCGAAGTTTTCATTTCACATAATTTCCCGCCTTGTAGCAAAACCTTTACGGCTGTTGTCAGATATTTCACTTCCGTTCACTGAAAAATTCACTTCCGTTACGTCATAATATGCTAATTACACAAAAACGTCACGGACATGCGCGACACGTTTCGAACCCCATGCGCCCAGCCGTCAAGGGAGAGAGTATCGCGGGCGCACGAAATCCCGACGGCTGGAGACTGAGCCTACTATCTACGCCGCGACCATCAAAACTGCAATTACACTGACATCCATCAAAAGACAATAAGAAGTTTAAGGAATAACGTGATAACACGTTAATCCTGTTACAGTGTTACAGTGAAACGGTATTTCTACGGTATTTCTTATGAAAATATTACCCTGTCCAAGACACACAAAAAAAATATATCGGCCATTTATCTAAATTGTTTAAGACAATTTCGGGTGAAATGTATACCCTGTTTAAGACAGCGAGGCCAAAAACCATACCCTGRCCAGCGGCACGTCCCCGTATAGCAAATATATTGGAGTCCCTCGAGTCTTTCGATACAGAATGAAATATTTACAGGCGTTGCTTACGTATGCTCGTGAAAAATATATAAACTGATTATGCAACGTCTAATCCCATTGGTTGAAACAGAATATGACGTCATGGACGAACGTCCTAACGGCTGCGAGAGGAGACTACGTACTTAGAGGGTGAAGTCGGGCTAGCTATTATGGAAAATTGAGAAAGAGAGGATATGTGCGGATACATGAATGAGTGAAAGATTATAAACATGATAAAATAATGATGCAATATTCAGTCTATCATATAATCATAATATTAATATCAAAGTAAKCTAAAACCTATACCAGAGGATAGAAGAGCACAAATGACCACCTCTTCATTGGCAGACATATCTATTGTTCCTGACCACATAAATACACGCATGCAGGACTTAATCTCAAAGCATTGTTGTTCTTATAGTACATTCAACAAAATAATACATTCTGATTGGTCGAGAGGAGTACAATTATAGCATTAATCGTACTCCTTAATTAAGTTGAATGTACTATAAACTAAAATTAATTTGACTTAATATAAGAAAGGTCAACAGGGAGTTCCAACCAACCCTGAACGTCCAATCAGACTCAGCGAAAGCAAAACCCCTTGTTTGAATATACATAATATAATAACTTTGTCAATATAATTCACACTTGTTATAACGCAATTGTTTCACAGCAGCTTTGCTTTTGGATTGTACTGACCGTGGTGAGTACAAATCAAAAGTTTGTATCAAGTGCGACCGGGACCTAAGTCGTTGAAAATGATGACAGGGTGTCATTGAAACGTCCAACACTTCTTGTGTTGATATCTCGAATTCAATAAATTATTTCATAGAATTTTTTTTACTTCTAATATAGTAGTGGAAAGCAGAATGTGTTGATTTCACCAGTTTTTTTATTAAGGTATCTGTATACAGTTGTTTAGAACTCCCACCGGGACAAAAGAAACGGGTAAAAAAGTAATTCAAGTTGGTCAGATCGTAATACTATTTTACTACATGATTAACAAGGGATTCATATTCATATTGAGTAAATTTTGTGAAAATCGGATTTAGATTATGCGTTTTACGGAGAAATCCAGGAAAACGCTTTTACATGCAGCTATATTTCAAACGAATTAAGCTTATTTTTTCCGCGATATCTCAGGGACATAATATAAGAGGTAGTTCCTAACAGTTACATAAAGTTTGGTGAAAATTCATTGAAGAAAGATAACATAATGTGGTCCAAGAATTGAAAAAAAAAGAGCGTGCACAAAATCAAAAATTTACATTTTACTTTGTGTCAAATATATATTGACCGATTTCTGGAAAAGAACTTACCTATCATATTACTACGTTCATGCAGAGTTTCGGCGTTGTACAACCATTCATTAGGGAGTTAAAGGTATGAAGCAAAAGGTATGTTTTTAGTGCATGCTACAATTGTAGCTCTTTTGAGACAAACAGCCTCTGACTGTCTTAACTGAAATCGAATCCTAGAATTTGTTGTAAATTTCTTGTCCACAAAGCCAAAACCCCTCTAGAGTTTTCGTATCTCACTGATTTTGAATTGATTGTTTACAACGGACGCAATAAATTTTAAAAATCGTGCATTTTGCGTCATTGATTTCGATGTTACATCGCAATCTATCCAAGGGTATTTGTTGTCGTACGCTATTGTTTTTAAAAATTAGATAGAAATTCCGGATGTAACACAGGCTAGCATGCACTAAAAACATACCTTTTGCTTCATACCTTTAACTCCCTAACGAATTGGTGTACAACGCCGAAACTCTGCATGAACGTAGTAATATGATAGGTAAGTTCTTTTCCAGAAATCGGTCAATATATATTTGACACAAAGTAAAACGTGAATTTTTAAATTTGTACACGCTCTTTTTCTTTGAAAATTCTTGCTCCAAGTTAAGGACCACATGATGCTGTCTTTCCTCGATGAATTTCTACCAAACTTTGGTAATCGTTAGGCACTATCTCCAAAAGTATGTCCCTGAGATATCGCGAAAAAAAAAAACTTAAAATAGCTGTAAAAACGTTTTCCTGAATTTCACCATAAAACGCATAAATTAAATCCGATTTTCACAAAATGTACTCAATATGAATTTGAATCCCTTGGTAATCATTTACTAAAATTTTACGATTTGACCAATTTAAATTATTTTTTTACAAGTTTCTTTCGTCCCGGTGGGAGTTCTAAACAACTGTATCCAGATACGAATATGAAGACCGCATGGCACTATGATAAACATGATATAGAAATGAAAGAAAGTTATAGTGCTTAGAAGGAGGCTTAGAAGGAGGCAATCCAGATACCTTAATTGTACAGTTCAAAATTCTAATTGTTTATTCACAAGCCACGCCCGGGGAGGGGACTCCCTAATAAAAAAGGGCGGGGTCCTCATCGTCCCTTTTAGGGTTCGAAATCAGTGTTTTGGTCCCGATTAGGGTGATAATGACGAGTATTCCCACAAAATGAGTTTTTTGGTCCCCTTTAGGGTATATACGACAACCCTAAGCCGTCATCATATATTTTTGTATGACAACGTCGTCATACCTGAAAATCAATACGAGCCAATGATATTTGATTCTTGTGCAAAAACACAATTTTTTTAATATTATTATTAGCTTTGCCCCTAGTATGGGCAGGGACACCGCAACAGCGTGAGCCAATTACTGCGGACATGTTGATTTTTACTGAGGGAGGAAAACCGGAGTACCSGGAGAAAAACCCTCGTGGCAAGGGAGAGAACAACACATCAAATAAACTCACATGTCCCGTGCCCGGGACGTATAAAATTGGGAAACTAAAACAAAATAACCGTTTATTGATTGGTCCATCTTAAGGGTGAAATTTCAGAACTGCCACTCCCATCAACTCACAATAAAGGCCCCTTTTAAGGGTCATTTTCAGAATTTCCGACGAGGACCCCCCGGCCTTTTTTATAAGGGAGTCCCCCCCACCTGGGAGCCGCGGCGTTCTTCTTCTGACCGCTAGATCATACTTTTCTTGTCAAAATGAAGCAAACCAGTGAAATGCCATTGAAAACACTATTAATAATTGAATGCTTTTATTTGGTTGTTGCACATGGAAACATATACTTAACAGTAGAATGTAATTAAAAATGATATATTTCAAGAGTTTCATCACTAATGGTGAAACGGCTAAAACCCTCAGATTATTTTCTCAAATAGGCAAACAGTGCAGGTGTGCACTACTGTCAAGTTATTTTCTCGAGTCTTAGAAATGTGCCTTTTTATTGTTTCATCAAACAATTTTTTGAATTTCATCTTCTCATCATCTGAAGCTGCAACGACAACACTGTATGACGAGAAATGATTAAACACCTTCTCAGGAGGAACTTGTAATTTGGTCAAAACATTAGGCAACATTTTCCCACAACTAAATTTCTCTGACAAAGAAATTCTATTGATAATCTGTTCATGGTGTAACAGTGGCCATGTTATACAGTTTTTTTCATAAAGTGGTTCAAGAAAATCACATATAGGTTTCATCCAAATTGATTGCGATGAGGGAAAATGCCAAGCCACAGCAAATTTTCCATCAGGTGCTAAGGCACGATGAATTTCATCAATACTTTCTTTGAACTTAAACCAGTGAAAACATGAAGCTGCAACCACAGCATGAACACTTTCCTCTGGAGCATCTAGACCAAGAAAGATAAACAGTTAGGATTCCATGCTGATAGCAGTCGGAGAGCTAATGTAATTTGTAATCCAAGAGTCTCTACAATTGTCTTATTTTCATGTCATTTTAGACACAGAAGCAGTACACAAGCTTGTTATTGAAGAAAATGGAATATCAAAATGGARTATGGTTTTACTAATTGAATATGTTATGACATCAAGAGTGTGTTTATAACAATACACACAACACAATACAGTTCTATGAAGGACATAGGAGAAACCAGCAGACCGCTAGTAATAAGAAGAAAGGAACACCAGGCCACTGTACGCTGTGGCAAAAATTGAAAACTCAGCATTAGCTGAACATGCCACCTCCACAGGACATGCAATAAATTGGCAAGAAATGAAGATTCTTGGTAAAGAGGAGAKGCATGCAACATCGCAAGTAGAAAGAACATTATTTTTATTTCACAGAGACTGTCAGAACTCTACCTTTTAGTTACCTGATATTGCTAGGCGATTGATTTACCACGCATAAGTCATTGTTTTGATGGCRAAGTTTTCCTTTGGGATATTAGGGATTAAATGTCCCCTCAGTCTCAGAGATTTAGTAAAAGTCCACTTAATCTCCTCGTCTTCGGGGACATTTTTAAAATCCCTCATATCCCTCAGTGCCATGGTGTTACTTATAATTATTAWGCTTACAAAATCTAGCTGCACCCGCTTAACACAACGTGTGCACGCTAACACTAAATTACTAAATAAAGTAAACGTTGTAAGACTACAACTAGTCAGTGGAAAGCCACACATCCAACTACCCGGGGAACAACAGGGCATTTAACTTGTGGGAATGTCTAATATTGTATTCAAGCCCTGGTATGCCCCGCTGGGGGAGAGATTTTGAGAGTCCCACCATTGTATCCCACCCCCAGGGTAAATGATTTTGAAATCTTTGATATTACAAAGATGCAGTAGAAAAACAACAGGTTTTATTTATCTTTTTTTAACTCTTTATCTTTTTCCATCCCCCTGAACATATTTAATAGAGGACTAGTCCTCTCTATTAACTATGCCCTGAAAAAAAATTAATGGTACAAATTAAAAATTATCTTAAGGACTGCAAGAGATATGTAGGAAATCCAACATATTCATATTGTATTTTTTGATCAACTGATAATAATTACCAAAGAACTAATACTAAACTTAATTACCTTTTTAAGAAAAGGCAAAATTGTCATTATACATGTATTTATCAAAAGGTTCAATACTAAGAAACTCACTGTTGATCAAATATTGTTCTTGCTAGATTCCAAACTTTTATTAAAGTCATATTTGTGGAATTTAAAACTGAACATTCAGAGTCTACTTGAGTCTACTTGCAGATCAAAAGCACATGGTGAAGAAGGAGAAAAATGGCAGAAGAAAGTCCTGCATGGCGGATCAATTTAGATGGTCTAAATGCTATCTATTGCCTCACTAAGTTCCTGTTAATTCCCTGGGTAGTTAGGTGCAAGTGCATTCTACTGACTAGTRCACTAAAAACAAAACAACCAGGACTGTGTGAGAGCGTGAAGTAGGGCTATCTATTTTGGAAAATTGAAAAATTACTTGGGTGTGCGGATACACGAAGAGCGATTTTCAACACAATAAGATAAAATTTGTATCCCCAAAAGATCATGTAATTATAATCAAATAATTATATACTATAATATGAAATTAAATTATAAATAGAATAAATTGAAGAAAAAGCCACACAACTTGTAACTTGGTTTCCACATTTTCTGAATAAAGTTTGGGTTTTAAGACATTCTTTTATTTGCTGTGAATGGCAAATAAATCAGGTTCAGCATGATGGGTTTCCTGTGTTATATTCTGTGGATTGAATCGATATTTGTTGAAAATAACTGAACCATCGCCGTATGTTAAAAACCTGAATTCAAGAGGGGAAAAAATTGGAAAAAAATTATATTGTTTGGTATAGAATTGTATGGATTCCAATAAGTTTTGACTGGGTTTTCAATTCGAGTACATGTTAACACGGCATCTCTGCTAAAATGTAGCTTTCACGGCCTTATAAATAAACTTCCYGGACGGACTCCTTAATATCAAAGGGCAGAGGTCCTCATCGGAAATTCTGAAAATGAACCCTACAAGGGACCTCTATTGTGAGATGATGGGCGTGGCAGTGCTGAAATTTCACCCCTAAGAGGGACCAATCAACAAAAGATCAAATTTTTTTTGGTTTTCCGATTTTATTTGTGTTTTTGCACAATCATAGAACACTGTCGGCTCGTATTGAGTTTATGGCGACGTTGCCATTTTATGACAGCTTAGGGTCATCGTATACCCTAAAAGGGACCAGAAAAGTCAGTTGGTGGGAATTCTCGTCATTATCACCCTAAGCAGGACCAAAATACCGATTTCAAACCCTAAAAGGGACGTTGAGGACCCCCGCCCCATATTAGGGAGTCCCCCCAGGTAAACTTCAAGCAAATAAACGGTTCCTATTCTGCTTTTGATTTCCAGTTAAGATAATAAAGTACAAAACGTATGAGTAATATACTTAAATCTTAAGTAAGTTTATCATATGAATTACAAATCAAACTTTTTATGTCGCCTTTGCTTTTTTTTACGTTTAAGCTTAACTTACTGAAGCTTTTCCTATTTTACCCTTAACTTTTGATGTTTCTCCAAACTAATATAAAGCTTACATTTCCATTACTAAAGCTTAACCAGCTTAACAATGACTGAAAGATCAAGCCGCCAATTTGCAACATAACTCGAAGATTGATTGTGTAGACGAATACGGAACAATACATGTACGATGAATCAAATTATAATTACTTAACAATTAGAATTTTAAGTAAATGATGTATTATTATTATTATTATTATTATCTTAAATCTTATTATTTTAACTTCGGTTCTGCAGTACTGTACATATAGCAATCAGGCTCGATCAGGACACGAGGCTGRCTGCTGACRTACAAAATCATGTCAAAAATTCAAACAAAGCRCAGATTTGTTTGAATTTGTGTGGCAGATGGTCCTGTGTTGCAGRCCATCTGCAACGCAGGACGATGCTTTCAGATATGAGSTTCTTGCCCTTTGATTCTTRGCTTCTTTTATATGGCTTAAAACTTATCATATTAGCTTTCAAACAAAGATGTAAGATTTTCGAATATTGCTCATGCTCGTTTTTGAAAAAAAATTGAGTTTGCCTATTAAAAATTCCTTGAAAGGAAAACCAGAATACCAGAACAAAATCAAAGCAAAGGTGAAGGAAATCTATGAATACTAGTGGAATACTAGATAACATGATTATGTGGGCTTCCCGCATAAAAGACTTAAAGTTAAATTATGACTTCGTTTCTCCACATTCAGTTCTGACGAAATTACCCAAAAACTACTAGTAGTTTGACTTTAATGCAATTTAAGCTAAAGTTCTTACCTCATGTAGAATTTGTATTGCAAGCAATAATAACAATCCCTAAGTAAAAACAACTTTGCCTCAACGCCAATCAACGATTCAATTAAGGAAACAACTTCAACTAACCAAATAGTAGCTGGTTTAACAAGGCAAAAGGGACAACGTAGAGAGAAATTTGTGTTTTTTTTGTACAATTTTGTTAAATTATAAGTGTGGTTTAAGTCATTTCAGTAATCAACCTAGTTAAAAGAAAACTGCCAATTAGTAAGTAGGCAAAGAAATTTGGTATCATGTAGTATCTATAAACAACAGATGTGTAGCATGATTCATACTCTGAAGTTCCCAAAAATCATATAGAGCATAATAATAGTATAGAGTGGAAAAATCCAAATTAACCAATAAAAGTATAGGGTGGAATAATAGTATACTTAGATTGGAAAAAACAAAATTTCAAGCTATTTTTTTGCAAAATMACCAACTTGTTTCCCAGTCTCTATCAYGATCAAATTCGCTGACAAGATGATTTGCAGTTTGTTTTTATTTTGGAGACAAAACGTTCGTCTTTTGGGCGACTTTTTTTCTGATTTTGTTAAAAACTAATTAAGGTAAGAACTGAGAAAAAAAAGTGAAAATTAATAATCGCACAATCCAGAATAAGGCCGTAAAGAGTGGGAAATTTTTGTCAGAATAAGTAAGCTTATATATACGATTTTTCGGAACTTTAAGTGTACCACGAGTTGTAAATTTAATTCAGATAGTGTTTGAACATCAATGAATAAACAAATGCAAGAAAGAATACAGTCACTTTGATTGTGAGCTGCATAGAGCTGGAAAATTCTACGACAGAGACTTCATTGTTTCATTTTAGTATTAACTTGGATTCTCAATAAGCACGGGCCAGCACCTTCCTACAAATATTTTCTAAACAAATTTGGAGGATCRGCCAGTCTTCCTCATGCTTGCTTCAACCTTWGTGACTGAATGGTACGACAAATCAAACTATAATTACTTTACAAATAGAATTGTAGTATGTAAACGATTTATGAATACAGTTTTCTTTCGTTTAAATCTAATTATTTTTAACTTCGATTCTTGAMAACCAGAGTCGAGCACCTGCACTGAAAAGACAAGTCTAGCCGCAATTATGTAACATTGGTATGCATGGCCAATTGGTAGTGCCTTCGATTGCTCACCAAGAGGTCTGACGTTCCAKACACAGAGGAGCTGACATTTCTTTAGATTTCTTTCTTTGCCAAAAAAATAAATTAAATCAAATATAGAACAGGGAAAGTTAATGAATAAAATACTAGAAAACAATGAGTATAAATTAATAGTTCTGAACACAAGTAACGCAGGCTCACGTTTACARGAAAGTGACTGACTGAGTGACAGATTAGAGTCAATGTCGTATGAGTGGGAAACGTACGGTAGATATTACCGCATGGTTACCGCACAGTTACCGGACCTGGCCTGCACAAATTTTTGTGAAGCAATGAGACACTAGAATTTTGTTACAGTACGATTACGGTTACGTACAGTACCGTCTGTTTCCCACTCATACAAAATTGACTTGAGTACCTCTACAATAACTCTTTGAATGCTTCGCATTCTTCGAGTTTTAAAAAAAGCACTGGAATAAATCTGCAAAACTGCAAATCAAGAGCATGAAGAACAATGTGTATTTCATGAAACAAAGGAGCTCAAAACAAAGTTATGATATACCAATTCACTTGTTCTTTCGTTACATGAAGGCATATACTACTCAAATTTTGCAAAAATACAAAATACATCTGACCATCTTGACCAAGTCTCCGAGTTATGTTGCCATTGGCAGCTTGATTTTGTAACTTACTTGACCTTCAAAAACTCATTAATTATTCATGAGGTATCCAGCCAATCCCTGATTGTAATTTGTACCACRTGCAGTAACTTGAAACCAGAGGAAGTACTCCTACCTTGTATTCTATCTTATTTCCAGTTACTTCGAGCTTATTTCAAGTCACTTCTACATTATTTCTAGTTACTTCTACATTATTTCCAGTTACTTCTACCATGTCTCCAGTTACTACTAGCTAATGATAATCAAATTATTAGAAATAATCAATTAACATTAATTTAGTGAAAAAAGGTCTTTGATACAATAACTCCTCACGACTCGATCCCCTACCGTCCAGCCTACATGTTCCGTCTTATACCATTACACCACTGAGTTTCTGATGCGATTCCTCGGAAGATAACATACTTATAAATCTTATGGATTAGGCTCATTAGGAATGCAATGAATAGCAAACAAAGACAATTTGAATAGAATTTGTTTCAGATAAGCCATTAGGGAATTTAAGAACAAAAACAGTGCTTCAGTCGTTCAAAGGCCTCCAATTGACGGGATTTCAAAGTCCTTGCAATTAGTTGCGCGGACTTTGAAACCCCGTCAAGTCCTCATTGTCGGCCTTTAAACATTACTTCAAATACTCATTAATTATTCGGGAGGGGTAAAAAGCGAAGGAAATACATATAACAGAAATATATTGATTTATTGCATCTCCACTAAGGTTAAATTCAGTTTTCATAATTTTGAATACATGAAGCACTGTTTGTTGTTCTTCAATTCCCTGACGTCTTTCTGAAACAAAAGCTATTCAAGTTGTCTTTATCTGCTATTCATGGCATTCCTAATGAGCCTAATCCATAAGATTTATAAGTATGTTATCTTCCGAGGAATCGCATCAGAACTCGGTGGCGTAATGGTACAAGACGGCGCATATAGACTGGACGGTAGGGGATCGAGTCGTGAGGCAGTCATCTATCAAAGACCTTTTTTCACTAAATTAATGTTAAACTGATTATTTCTAATAATTTGATTATCATTAGCTAGTAGTAGTTGGAAACATGGTAGAAGTTACTGGAAATAAGGTAGAAATAGCTGGAAATAATGTAGAAGTAACTTGAAAAAGGTAGAAGTAACTGGAAATAAGGTAGAATACAAGTACAAGTACTTCCTCTGGTTTCAAGTTACTTCACGTGGTACAAATTACAATCAGGGATTGGCTGGATACCTCATGAATAATTAATGAGTATGAGAACGACCACTCTAGTAAGCAACTATCTCCTGTAAGTGATCACCTTTTAAATTTCCCGTTTTGTTCAGTTTCCCATATAAACTCTGTAAAAAAAAACCTTGTCGTAAGCGACCATCTCCCGTAAGCGACCACTTTTTCCCGATCCCGATGTGGTCGCTTACGAGAGAGTTGACTGTATGGTTGGTCAAATGCATTACCTATGTTTTCAGCTCCGAATTGCTTTATCTCAATATCAGGTAGCATGTCTTTGAATTGTTCACACATCTCTTTGACAGGGTCACTCGCTATAATACGCACATTAGCATCATGAAGTACACTGGCCATGACTCTTGTAAACTTCCCAGTTCCAGCGCCAAGTTCAAGGACTGTTAGCTGTTTGGCTTTATCCCGATATTCWCCAAGAAGTCCGAGTTTATTCATTAAAATTTCGACAGCTTCTTTTGGATAGTCAGGGCGGACTTGTTCGTAGTGTTTTGAGTCCTTAAAACCTTTGATTCCCAGCAGAGCTTCGTCGTCCTTGTCAGCCATTTTAATTTAATGGACTTCCTGTTTATAGAAACAACGGCCTCGTTCCCAAGGTCCCACAACAGGTCCTACAACCTCGTTCTAAGGATAGAGAGCAGAGAAGCCCTGGGAACGAGCTTATAGGTGACATGTGCTTGATAAAAAGTTGTCTTTGTATGGCTGGATCAAAAATAGTATGTTACTCGTGCCGTATCGAAATTCCTAGAGATGAATTAAGGTAAGAACTCAGCTTGAAACGTTTTGGTTAGTTTTTATCTTGTTTTAAGAAAGGAGTAAAATCTGACAGCCTGACCAATGTTAGTTGACTTAGTTAACTTTAACCCTTTAACGTCCGCTTTACGGGTTATCGTTCCTGCAGGAACGATGCTTCTAAAAATTACAAGTTTCCGAGATCACAAAAGTAGACCACCAAATGTACTCCATGACAACAGCTAGTAATATAACTCTATATTAGAGTTAAAAAGATTTCACAACAAGCGCGATACTTGGGCAAAATGGACCCCTGAAAAATAGGAATGCCCTAATTTCGACTCTTTGGTACAACAACAAGACTGAGAATCACGTCTTTTCGTCTCCAGTTTTAGAGTCGAAATCATCTTTTGCAAATCGAAATTCTACGTTTTTAGAAATTGGACATTTCAGGTCTTTAGTATTTTTTATTTTTGTTTTGTAGAAGTCTCTGCAGATCTTTTACCAAGCACAGCAAAGAGTTCGTATAATACGCGAGCCTGCGAAACATGCGAGCCACACCGCGAGCCATGAATATACACCGATTTTTGAGTTTTCTGGAAGTGTTTTGATAAAACCTACAAATTATCTAAAAGTTTCTGTTCTTCTGAAATCGGTGTAAAAATAAAAGCGAGCCATGCATGAATATATGTCAATAGCCGACTTGCGAATTACGCATCAATAGTCACATACAAAGGAATCAAGACGAGGCGCCGTGCYAAAKACAATAGATTTTTCACAAAAAAGCACGGCGCCTCGTCTTGATTCCTTTGTATGTGACTATTGATGCGTAATTCGCAAGTCGGCTATTGAAAGCTCTCGAAACTTGCATCTGTTTACATGCTGTCTTTCAGATAATAATGCACCTATCAATGATGGGGGGGGGGCAACCCCAGGGGAATTTGACATTTTCAGATTTCCCAAGGTCAATTTTCCGACCCTTGGGTCGTTTCTTAGTGTCAAATTTCTGGTCCCGGGACCACAAACCTGGTAAAGAAATTATGACAGCATTGCATTTAGTATACTTAACTTTTAGTATACTTCGCTTTTATTTTATAAACATTTGTGCTAGGACTACATTGTGTTTTCAGAAATGCAAAACTGGCAATGCCAAGAAATATCGTGGATGGCATCTGGTTCTCCAATGCAAAACATGTGATACCACTTTTGGCACCCATCACATAGTATCCATGATATGCCTCCTCCCCCTCCATCTGCAGGCTCTTCCTCCTTGCAATAACCACAGAGTACCTTAAGAAAAGGATTAC